TATATATATATATATATATATATATATTGCTGTATGTTAATTCTTACCTGTGTTATTATGTAGGTATGCTGCAAATGCCATCCCTACTATGTTGTTTGCATTGTTTTTGAAGGATTGATGTTAGTCATCCCTACATTTACTTCCTTTTTTGAAAAGTCTTCTTTACTTGTTTGCTTGTTTTTCTATTTTTTTGTTTGCAATGCAGTGTTTCAATAAACATAGGAAGGTTGTATTTATAACCAAGTTCTAAATACAATGAGGTTCCAACTATAATATTTATTGTTTATCTATTATTGGCTAGTAATTACTGTTTCACTCTGTACTTAAACTTTTCAAAGGAACAACAAATTTCTGTAAGAAAGCTAACTTCAAGGGGTAATGATAGTATCTTTTACACTTAGAATTATATATATTTTTTTAAATTACTACTAGTTATTAGCAATACTTACAAAAGCGGATACTCCGTTTGAAACTGTCACCTCAGTGAAATTGGTCGACACCATTGTTTTGGTTTTTGAGTTATCATGTAATAAAAAAAGAAGCAGAAAGAAGAACAAGAAATTCAAACTTTTTTTATGGTAATTACAAACATTCTCAGAACTTATGACTCAGTCAATACATAGATATTGTTATAAAAGGAAACACTGTATAGTATTGTAAAGTTCTGATGACCTATTGAGGAGATATTTAAAATACCGTTTTGATTAACAATCCGAGCTATCCTTACATAGACAATTCTACTGCCTGCCTGATAAAACTGTTATTTAGCATGTGGGTACTGTTGACTAGTCGCCTTTGTTCTAGTGTTAGTTTATCGGTTCAAAATTACAGACGGCTAGCGCACATTGTTCTTGTACAGCTTTGTGCTAACCCTCGAAGCAAACAGCCAATCAATTACCGACTATATTCGATTAAATAGTATTGAGTACCGGTCATTAAATCATTTCATCGTTTCAAAAACTAGTTACGATTTCAAACTACCCAGAATATCGTCGTATTTTGTGAAGATAGTTGTAATACGAAGTTTTTTTTTTTCACCTGGACACAAATTTTCGTCTAAAATTCTTTTCATTTTGTTCCTCTTTCAGTACATGTTTTATGATTATTTTATTTTATTTCATCTTACAGGACTCGTACTAATAAGATCCATGTTGGCAACATTCCAAACAGCTTTGAATGGGATGAAATCAAAACATTGTTGACAACATTTGGTGAAGTTCAACATTGTGTTAAAGGTACTGTTAACAAGTTGCTTGATTCGATTGTCCCGAACAAGTGATTAAAACATTCCGTTTCTGAGACTTAACTGTTAGGGGATCTTGGTTACATTTGCTCGGTCAGTTAAAGTTTAGTTAGCTCTGTTCGACATTGCTACTATTTTATTTTATTTTTAACGAATTTTATAAACTATAACTATAACTTCTGTTGTTCAAGTATAAAACAGGAAACATGTATTGAAACGTTTAGTTTCGCAGTTTTTTATGTTTGAGATTTTTTGTTTTTGCTGAATTAATAAGCATGTTTTTTTGTGACTGTAGAGAATTACAAAATAACCTGACTTCTTTTTTTTGTGATTGGAGGAATTTTTTAATATTTTACTATGATGATGATTTATACGTTTTCTCTGACTTGTATTATGTGCCCATGGAAATGATTATATCATTATGGAGTGGATCTCAAATGGAAAGCAGACTTCCAGTGCTTAGAAGCTTCAAATTCAGACTTTTCCGGGGGAGGGGACATATCTTGGAAAGCTGAACGCCGCCAGTGCATTTAGAAATTTAATGTACTAAGAAGAGGATAGGTTCTCAACATTCTCTTTATTTATGAACTTAGAAAATTGCTTTAATTATGGAATAAAATACACAAACCTAACCTTTCTCCTCTAGACCCGTAAAGCGGAAATTACGTACATTTCCCTCAACCGGAAAGACCTCATCATACTTGCAAAATTAGATACATTATATGTAAAATAGACAAGTTTTTCACGCGCAATTTAGAACCCACTTCACTGTAATACGGAACGCTAGAAACGTACGGCTGGAAGTGACTGACCTAAAATTTACGAAGTCATTTTAAGACGCACAACACTGTTATTGTGGCATGAGTTTAAAAAAAATAATTTGTGACTTTTTAATCTCTTTATCCCCAATTTTTATAAAATCGTATGAGGCTATGAAATCTCTAGTGGACTTCCATGCACTATCAGTGTTCACTAATGGGGTTACCTACATTTTAAAAGTAATTGAAGAATAAGGTAACTGAACTTTTTTTTTATACAATGAAAACTTTAATATAATTTCAGGTACTTCTGTAGCATGCAAAAACAAAACTAGCAGACTTAAAATGTGTTCTATTTCGTCATCTCCAAATTGCTAATTGGTAATACTCTGAAACGCAACGTATAACAATTATCTTTGAATTAAATCTTAGGGTTGAAAAATCAAGCACAATAACGAATTATAAATACACGTAGCATCCTCATTTTACATACATTATGACCTATTTCATTTTATTTCAAATAGTTTACGGAAGCCAAACAACATTTTAAAAGCCAGTAGTTGGAGGTTAATATTAATTATATATTGAATCATGGCAAGCTGTGAACTTAAGAATGAAACTAAAAATCGACCAGGCAAATCGCTATAGCTAATTTAACATTTTTTTTTTTTTACTTTCCTGCTTATAAAGATTAGAATGTATTATGGACAATGTTTGGTTAAAATATACTTGGTCTACCTTTTACTTCAGCCAAACAGGCTTGAACAAAATTTTGATTTTAGTGTCTGTTTACATTATTTAGATCATTTTATTCTCCACATCATTTTACTTTTCTTTTTTTTTTGGCTTTTGTTATATTAGGGATTCAGTTTTAAGAAATAATTCATTTTAAGCTGCTAATTAGCAGTTATCCCCCAACAGATTGAGAGTTCATTTTCTTCTTTCAGGTCCAGCCAAATTTGAAAACTCGTATCATGTCTTTGTAACGTATGAAACTCCAGATCAAGCACAGCAGTAAGTTTGTATTATAAGCAGAATAACACATTGTACTATCTTACTTTTGATTTTATTACCATAATTAATAATTTACAATGGATAACTGTGTGACGTTATTCCTTCTCATTGTCAGTATTTGTATGTTTTTCTAACAGTTTTTGATAATGCAATACACAAGAGAAAAAAAAAGAAACTGAAAGAAAGTTAACATAATTGAACAGTCTCCTGTTGCTGATGGAAACAGCTTGTTCTACAATATCAATTATACATATTTCAAATTAACCTGGACTTGAGTATTTAGGCAATATGTTTATTTATGAAGTACAATACGTTTCATGCATTTTCTCACAAGGAAGTTCACAGGTATAGATTACTTGTCTGCTTCACTCTTGTGCCTTTTTTAAAATTTTATTATTGTTCTTAGAGCTTTCACCCAACTGAATGGATATGACATTGAAGGTTCACCTTTAAAAGTAGATTTTGTTATGGATCAAGGATATGGAAACCGTGGAGGTCGCACTAACAGAGGACCCTTCCCACTCTTTCCTTACTCAGGGAATTCTCCTAACCCCATGCGTCCAACAGATTTTCCTCTACGGTAATTTTTTTAACAGAGTTCTTCTTTATTACAGCTTTTCTTGTGAAGAATATTTAAAATATGTTGATGACAAAAAAAACTGATTTGTTAGTTTTTATGTTTAATAATGTAGTTAATGTAAAGGTTTAAGAACTTCCACAGAAATATGGTTTAAGGATTTTTCTGTAGATGTAATAAAATGAATTTATTGAAGAGGTCTCACTGACTTTTTATCTCCAAAATTAATACCTATTTTGAATACTACGTTCAAATCATAATTATATTAATTGATTAGTGTTTCAAAAGCTATTAATAAGTAGTTCTGATGTTAAACTTGCTGTTTTGGCAAAAGTTCAAATATTTCATGAGAGATTCTGTTTCTACTAGCTTTATTATTCAGTCTTCTCATTCTTTCAATGATATATAATTGGTAGTGTAAATATAATGTACATCATTTTACAGGATAGAGATCAGCATTTCTCAACCTTTTTAATAACATGTTCCACCTAAACTTCAGAAAATTTGCTGCATCTCATCGCAGAAAATTGTAGAAGTGTGACACGTATGGCAGCATTGTTTCATACTTGCTATGCTGGGTTCATGCATGTGACATTAATTTATAATTAGAATTTTGTGAAGTATTATGTAGCTTGTATTATACTTAGCTGTTTTGCAATTTTTTAAAAATATTGTCACCTAACCTTAAGCCTTTCTGCAGCTCGCTCACCCGTGGAGAAACGCTGGTATAGATAATGCTTCCAGTATCTTCATTTAGAGATAGGCTTGATATGTTGATTGAGAATCACTGAGAGCACATTGAACTCCTGTGACAGTTTTTGAAACACCTCATATCATATCAACATTTTTTTAAAATAAAACTTGCGATTCACAATGTGCTTCTGCTGAAATTGAGTTCACACTAAACAAGTGGGTTTTAAGATGTAATAAAATGCTGTGAAATTGTTATCAGCTAATTACTTAAGTATTTAAAAAGTTTACTTTGAATGTTTACTGTGTGAGATATAAAAATTATACAATAATGATAACAACTGATAGCAACTGTCATGATAAGTTAGTGACAAAATACTTGTTTGCTTTGATTTTTTACATATCAAAATAACGTAGAAATGTCAAAAGTGAGATAATTATGATTTTTGGAAAGCTTGGAAAAGTTCAATTAAATTGTAAAAATACTTTCATTCCTTTCCCATGTATTTTTTTTAAATTAAAAAAGTAATATGAATAAATATTTTAAAATAACATCTACGACCAAGGAATGAATAAAGTGGCGCCATCTTTCCATTATATTTAATAATTATTATGTAAGTAATGGATACAGTTATTGTGTTTATATTGAAGTAACGTAACTTGGGCTATAAAGAAAATTTTATGTTTGTGTATTTTAAATGTATTAAAAGTAAATTTATTACATGGTATATTAGATGTTTTTTCATTATAAGTTAATCCGATTAACATTAAGCATTTCTTTGGTTATATTTTATTTGTTTACATGTCTTTATCAAATTAGTTTTAAATGTTTTGTTTCTTAATTGTAACAGCAGTAATAACCCAAATTTATTTTCTTTAGAATACTTGTTTTTAGTGATATGGTAGGAGCAATCATTGGTCGAGCAGGTGGTACCATAAGACGAATATCGCAGGAATCTCGAGCCAGGTAAGAAAACTCCAAAAAATGTGTTTTCTTTAAGAATTATATCAAAATACTTGAGCATATTGTGTTGACACGCATTCCTACTGCCAATTAACAATTACCATATAGAAATACTAAACAATTTAAAACTAACTTAAGGACAAACTTAACTTGTGTGTAAAGCTATGTTTGATTACACTTGTTAACCTAACCAGAGCATGCTTAGCTAGGTTTAGTAGAATTTGACTGACTTGTTTCATTTTAATAAACAACTTTGTAAAATTATTGAATTTGGATAATAAATTAAGTAGTTTAAAATTATTCTTTTCCAATATGTAATGTAAAATATCATGTAACAATTTGTCCTTAAAACTGATTTTATTCACTGTTCTTTGTATTCAAATACAACAAGTCAGGTGGTTAAGAAGATAACTTTTAAATAACTTTTTTTGTAGTTTTCACTTTTTAGTCTTTTCATTTTCTTTCTATAAACAATCTAGGTAGGCTTTAATGTTTTTTTTTCTATCAAATTTCAGAGTTGATGTACACCGCAAAGAAAATGCAGGATCGGTTGAAAAAGTAAGTTTTTATAAATTCTAATTTTAGTTCATTGTTATTGTTAAACATCAATTGATTTATTATCTTGAGAAGAGACATTTCCAGCACGAGATGGGAACTGCTGTATTAACTTCAGCATTAATCATGCCAGGCAATAAGTTTCAAAGTGATAGTATGAAAAATAGGTTAAGTAGAGGCAGTGTCACAACTGTATGTGATTTGATAATCAACTTTTTTATTGGAACAACAAATTAAGTGTCATTAATGCCATTAGCCTTTTATGAGACAATTTTTTTTAAAACTTTGTCAAGGTGTGGTTTTGGAATATCTTAACAATTATTTTGTGTAATCTTTTTTGTTTTTTAGTTACTTGTAATTATGGATTTGCTTATTTTCTCCATAAAAAAATGCTAAATGTAACTTAACTACTTAGGTAATTACTATATATGGGGATCCAGAAAACTGTTCATTAGCTTGCAAGAAAATTTTAGAAGTGATGCAACAAGAAGCTGAAAACACCAGCCGAGGGTAAGACTTCTTGCAATCAATGAAAGCAGGAAATATTTTTAAGGTCAATATTTTTGTAAGCTACGCAAGTGTTAGAATTTAGATTATAATTGATATTGTACATTAAGAGAAATGATAAAAAAAAAACTGTGAATAAAGTCATGTTTATGTACACAGTATAATAAAAAAAAAACAGAAAAGAAACTTAGCTTGGGTGGAGCCAAACCAGACCACTTAGTATGAACTAGAATTTACATTCACTAAACTATATTTCGATTAGTAGAGGAACTGCAGAATTATGTTGGTTTAATTATAGTTTTCTTTGTGTTATCAGAATTGTTTCTTATGTGTGTTATGTTCATTATTTTGAAGAGCCTAATAGAATTTTAATTATAAATACTCATCTTGTATGCATGTTAGTAATGTATACTAAAAAAGGAAGCATTTGTTGTATTAAAACAGAAGCACATTAAAAAAAATAGCCCAACAAGTTTTGAATTAATGGATATGTAACTTTTAAATTTAATTAAGCGGAAGATGAGAAAGGTCATGTGTAGTTTCTGAACAAATATTTAAATACTATAATTGTAAGAGAATACAACCAATGAATAAAGCTATAAATTAGGCCAACAGTATCCTGTTTTACACATTTAGGTAAAGTTAATCAAAAGTGAAAAAGCTGTTTCTCTGACTATCCTGTTATCATGATGTACCAACTGCCATTTTGTTTTCAGTTTGGAGTTCCATGTTGGGATTGAAATTGTTTTACATTTCAATTTAAAACTATTTAGTTATAAAGTGTAATTTACTCTCTTGTATTTGAGTTTAAGACTATTTAGTTATAAAGTGTAAATTACATCTGTGTAAGTTGGGTTTAAGAGACGTGTTTTTACTAAAAATAAATTATTTGTGCAATTGATGTTGTATGCTGCAAGTAATGAGTGTACAAAAATTATGCTTTATTGTAATACATTTTCTGTTCCAGTGACATTCCCTTGAAACTTTTAGCTCACAATAACCTGATTGGTCGCCTTATTGGCAAAAGTGGCAATACCATCAAAGGAATAATGGAGAAAACAGACACCAAAATAACTGTTTCTAGGTATTGTAGATTAACTGGTCTTTATTTTTAATCAAAATATGCTTCACCTGAAATTCTGAACAGGAAAAGATAAAATTATTCTATGAAACGATTTATATTTAACATACTTGAATATCATGTTATTTCTGGTTTATATAGCTGTTTGTTCCATGCTAAGTCACTTCTTTAAGGAGAAAGTTTAATGGTGTTGTAAATGATACTTGGTATAATGTTCTTCTAAAAAGAAAGATCATTGAAGAAAATTATGTATTATTTTATGCAGTTGTGTACTGTATAATTCTCTTGTTAATAGGATCAAACAGTGAATATTTGTGTGAGACCATTGTGTCCACTAACTATACATCATAAGTTCTGTGGAATAGTATTGTAATGTATACAGTGCATTAAAAAAGCATATTAATACTCTTGCAAGAACTACAATTATCTTATCAAAGTGATGCTTTTTGTCTAAAATATAGGACATTAAAGTTTATGGATAATGTTTTAGGTGCATCTGTTGTGAGAATTTGTCTATCCTTTTAAAATCTATGCAATGTGTTGTTCTGCAGTAGCATCCATGATGTTAACAGCTTTAACATGGAACGAATTGTAACAATTGTGGGCAAACTGGAAAATACTTCTAAAGCTGAACAGATGATCAGTTCAAAACTACGCCAGAGCTACGAGAATGACCTTTCTTCCATGGCTCCCCAAACATTTATGTTCCCTGGGGTCCATCCTATGGCTATGATGTCTACCATGGGGGGCCCTGGTTGTCCTCCTGCTCCTCGTGGTACACAAACCATCCCTCCATATGGCATGTACAACTCACCTTGTATGCCTGTAAACTATCCCCCAGGGTCCATGTCATCGCAACAGCAAGATCCAAGTAAGGAACAGGTGTTCTTGTACATTCCAAACACTGCTGTTGGTGCCATAATAGGTACTGGTGGTTCGAGCATCAGGGACATGATCTGTTCTTCTGGAGCTAGTATAAAGGTCAGTTGAACATACTGGTTAACATAGGCTAAGTTTAATTTCGACAAAATAGGAACTTGTGCACTGTATTGATTGAACTAGCCGTCAAATCATGTTCAGTTTAATTTACATAATCATCCCAATATTATCAGCTAGTGAGCATTAGATATATGCATAGTCAGTTATGTCATTTGCCTCATCTGCTTAGTTTTTAATGGAATGTTCAACAGTTGTTTAGATTTTATATTGTTGGGTTTTAAACTGATAGTTTTTAAGTTTTAGTTATTTTTCTTCAAGGTTGCACAGCCTAATAAAGATGAACCGTTAGAAGGACAAACAGAAAGAAAAGTAACCATAATAGGGACACCTGAGTCACAGTGGAAAGTAAGGAGAGTTCTATGTTTTAACTTTTTACACTTTGGATATTGTTGGCACATTGTAGTCAGTAGCAGGAAAAATACAAAAAACAAATTATATTAATAATATACGATCATAATACAAAAACAATTATCTCACCCAAAAATGAATTGGACTCCATTTTGACAAAATTTGATCATGATTCAGATATTTTTCATCGGAAGAGATTATTATGCATTGTTTTTGTAATTTAATGATAAAAAAACAACAAAGAATTCCTCTAAAGTTTGTCCTTTCTTTTAACTTGAACAACAGGAATGGTGTATTTTTGATAAGAAAGTAAAGAATAACATTTTATTGTTGTAATTGCTGTAGAGAGAAAAACTGAAGTTACTATTAGGCTTAGCCCTGAAAAACTAAATAAATAAGATACTGTCTCATTGCAAACTTGAAATATGTTTCTAGTTTTATTCAGAATTAGGTGTGGAATACTGCTATTTCCTGAGAAGTTTTGGGGTATTCTAGTAGAGTGCTTCTCAACCTGGGTTCTGCAGAACCCTCAGTTTCCTGAAAGACATCCAGGGGTTTTGCGGAATGCAAGAGTTCCGCATATTCTAATGGATAAATACATACTAGTCACGTAATTGCATTTCAACTACATCATATTTCTTTATTAGTATAGCAGGTTTCATAATGATGCAACATAACAACAAGTCACTGCATTGTTTTAAGTTAGTGAGTGAGACTAAGTACAAACAGGTGCTTTAGTCTTGTAAACTTTTATTATTTAAGAGAATGTGTTTCTTGTTATTTGTGCCGAGTAATTGACTCAAGAAATTTTTCATACTTTGAATGTATGTGTGTGGGTATATAGCTGCATTAAACATACATACTCTGTCTGGAATTATTGATATAGTATTGCAGTAGTGTTTTTTTATAATGAATGCTACGAAGGGTTCCATGACACAAATTTGATGTCAGAAGAGTTCTGTGGATTCAGAAAGGTTGAGAACCATTCTAGTACATGTTTGTATGATGATTAGTGAATCTGACATCTAGTTCTGGCAATGACATTACTGATGGAACAATCAAAGGATATTGATGTATTATAAATAACATTTCTTTGCATCAGTTTTAATATAAATCTTTTATCACTTATGAATTGGAATCTAGCATCACACAGTGGTATGTAAGATAATTGTATGGAAAGGAAAGGATTGATCTTTATCTACTAACAACCAGTGGCACAGCAGTCAGTCTGAAGGCTTATAATATAAAAACTGAGTTTTGATACCTGTAGTGGGTACAGCACAGATAGCTCACTGTGTAATTATGTGCTGAACTGCAAACAAACAAAATTTTTATCGACTATAGAATTGTATGAGAGGGAAAGATTAACCTTCATTCATCATGAAAAATGTTTTAAGTTCAGGAAGATTTTGATTTATGTGTCCTTGAATTACTCATTGAGTAATACCTCCAAATGAAAACTACATTCCACAAATTTTTATAATAATAATAATAACCTGCTCCCATTGAAATACAATAACATCATTCTAAATTCTCACCAATTGGTGAAAAATTTGAGGTTTGGAAGACAGAAAAATGTTAGTATGTAAACAATTATTTTTTCACATCCAAAGTTTTCACATTTGTAAACTATCATGTTGTAAGTTAGACTTTCAAATAAACTACCTTATTTGACTGCTTGTTGTTACAGGCACAGTTCATGGTCTTCAAGAAAATTAGCTACGAAGGCTTTGCTGGACCTCAGGATGCACGTCTTAGGGTAGAAATCTTTGTTCCATCATCTCAAGTTGGTCGCATAATTGGGAAAGGAGGACAGACAGTAAGTAGCATCCACTTCATTAGCACTATTTATGGAGACATCCTTAACCTTTCCCTTAAATAAAACTTACAAAGAGTAAAAATCATAAGTGATAAAACGAATCAAACTGAGTACGAGTGTTATAACATTTTTATTTTTAAAAAAGTTTGCTTTTGGAGGGGAGGTGGGTTTAATTAAAAATAATGATAGTTTAAATTACAAAATTCACTACTCCAATTGTCATTGTTCTCTGTTAGGGCAGTGGTATGTCTGTGGACTTGCAATGCTAAAATCTGGAGTTCAATTCCCCATGGTGGACACAGCAAATAGCCCAATGTGGCTTTTGCATTATGGTTTTTATCCTTAAATTACTTGCAAAAACTTCAATATTCATATATGAGATAAGTTGCTTGAATAATATAATTAACCATAGAATTAATAATAGTGATCCACAATTATATGATCAGCTTTCTTAAACACATTTTTCTAAACTATTTATGAACCAAATTGCTCGTATGTCAATGACTTCATTGGTTAAAAAATCCTTAATAGCATATATATTGCAAAGAAAAAAGTGAAAACAAAACTACTATCACTATTGTAGTCACTTACCCCAATTGCTGCTGGAGTCATTTGGGTATTAAACATTTTTTTTTACAAAATGAGAGATTTTACCAAATTCTTTGGGTTTGCTTTTCTACACTGACTATTTTAATGGGCAAAAACATATTCTACAATATGCTGAAATATGTAAAAATAGTAGTAAATTTATGAAAACAAGTCAGTAATGTGTGTATTAAGTGAGCTAAAATGTAATTGGTTGAATAGTTGTAAGTATACTTTGCTGGCTTTACTGCAGCAAGTGGTCAAACTCTTGAGCAATATTGTATTGTAAGTATACTTTGCTGGCTTTACTGCAGCAAGTGGTCAAACTCTTGAGCAATATTGTATGGTCTGGTTAATGATATGGTAACATAATGCATTGAATCAGTTTATGTTTACAGCATTTTGATGTGTACAGCACATAACTTGAAGTTTACATATTGTACCAAAGAATCTTTTTTAATTCCTCTTATCAGTGATTCTGAAGAATTGCATTTGCTATTCTTGCAAAGAGTTTGTAGTAAACAATTAAATATGGGTTCTACTATTTTACTTTATAACTACTTTGTGAAATGTGTGATTTGTTAAATAACTTTCTTCTGTTGCAACCTTTTGAAAAGAGTTGAACATTGGATTACAAGTAAACTCTTACCAATCCTCATATTCTTTCCAAAGGGAAATCCATTGTAAGAATGATGAACAGGATAATTAAAAAATGTAAGCCAAACATCAGCGAACATCCATGACTTTCCCTCAGTTTGGTCTGTTGAAATATTAGCAATTGATATTTTGAAAGTTTTTATATGCGAGTTTATTTGCAAGATGATGCCATTGTTTGGCAAATGAAGCATTGTTTGTAAAAATACCTTTTAAGGCTCTTGATTTTAGCCATTGTAAACAAATGTTTTAAAATTCTCACTGGGGTACCCATATTTAGCAATATAATAGCTTAGAATGCTATTTAATGTTTCACAGTATTGTCTCTAGTGATTTGGGAGTTGTAAAGGTTCTGGTTTTTATTTTCCCCAATTCTTCCAATTTTTTTTCTTTGAACCAAAAACTTCTTTGCTGCTGAAGGTTTCCATGCAAAGTATCTAGTGTATTGGAAAGCAGAGTTATTATCCCCAATGTATAGTAAAGTTACTAATGTTGCAAAGAAATGGGTAAGAGAGTTATCAAAATTGGAGAAGGAGAAAGAACTTACAGTAAACATTTGTGTTGTTCAACGTTTGATAAAGCAGACAAATGCAGGATTTGTAAGATCGATCCAGATGAAAGATACTACCAAAATTTCTGTTCCTCTGGCAGTGTCAAAAGTTGTTATAGATAAGTTAGATAGATTTACGAAGGAATTGGACACAGTAAATAAGAGAAAGCAGAAATGGAAGGGGAGACATAGTTTAAAACAAATAGAATTTTCAATCAAAATCTGTGAATCATGCAATATTGTTCCCATTCCTTTGTTCTCAAATATATTATTTCATTGGTATGTTACAAATACTGTTCATTTATAAAAGCTGTAATAATGGAAGTTTTGAACATGTATCTATAAGTATGTTGATTTTGTAGCTTATGAAGTTAAGCATCTTCAGAAGAAAGCAATGTCGTATACAAATGTTTAAATGATATGTTAGTATGATAAGTGTTTATAATACCATTGATAGGAAGGGTTGGCTTTTCTTCTGAAACTGACATTAATAAAGTTTGAAATACTTAGTAAATGAAGTGCCCTAAATTAGAAAGGTGGCAAATTTTAAGTCTTGTATCAAAGTTTGAAGAAAAATATAAGAGAATAGCCATTTTAATTTGAGATTTGAATTTTTCTAGTTGTAATAGGACACTAAAGAATATCTCCAAAGCTCTTATAGGTGTAGGGTATTAATATAATATCAAGTTCATATCCTAACTCGTGTGTGTGGTGGTGGTGGTGGTAGTGGCCAGGATTTGACTCTGGATATTTCAGTTAGAAAAGCTGGTGTGCTATCCAGTCATCCAGGGTCTTCCCTGTTAGGGCCTCAATCATCAAGTTAGAATTAGTATTTAGTTATTATAATAATATAAATTAGTAATTTATTAAGTTATACCTAAACGATCATATAGGTTGATATCTGATCACCAGAACCTTGTCATAAGTAAAGAATTCCAGCCTTTAAACTTTGTCCAGAACATTGACAGTTTCATATGGAAATAAGAAATGTCAACTTGTTAGAAAAAGTAATTTACTGGTTTATATTATTTTGTTCAGGTACAAGAAATATATAATTGTTCCATTTAGAGATTGTAAATTTGACAGTTTTTCCAAGTTCCAAAAGTACAAGGATCGTAAAGATGCTTTATTTTACATAGGTTCGAGAAATGCAGAGGATAACCCAGGCAGCAATAAAATTACCAGAAGAGAGCCAGAACACTCAAGCAGAGGAAACCCCCATCTGCATCATTGGCGATTTTTACAGCTCACAAGTATGTTACTTTAATCTGTTAACTAAAGCAAATAATTTTGTTTTAATATCTGTGAATATAATTAAGCTTATATATTTGTATTTTTGTGTAAATTGAATATTTCATGACTCCATATATTGGGAATGATTGATGTTAGTTGTAATGATTTTAGATAGTACTCAAAGTAAAAGAAACTAGACATTAGTGTAGAAAAATGCCACTTGCAGAGACATGCCAGAACTGAAAGTAGGGGGCCTAACTACTTAGAATTGATGCCCTAAAAAAAGTTCAAAGTAATAGATGATCTTCTGCATCATTAGTTCTACTTTAAAACAGACCTTCCGGACAAAATCGTAGAGAGTCACTACAGCAGCCAACTTAAGTCAAGTCTGAGACCCTACAGACATGAAAAACCCTCAACTCTAGTTATACTTTTATTTAGTTTTCTTTAACTTGGAGACTAATAACTTTTAGTTTTTATTTGAAATTTTCTGATGTTATCTAACTTATTGAAATGCAGCAAGTGGATGCAGCTATGCAAAATACTCAATGTAACACTCAAGGCCTTTACCTATCATGTTCTCATATCATCATTATCCTGACTTTGTCACCTTTTACCCTTCAAGGTTCCATTGGCCTCATTAATGAACTCATTATTTATCAAAGTTAATGAGTTGTCATTAATCCTTTTGACAGTCGATATTTTTCTCATAGATTTGATACTTCTCTCTATATCCTCTTGACAGAAAGTCTAGCCATGTAATAAGCATATTGGCTAAATATGCAATTATGGAGCATGTTTTGTCTGCTTAATGTAATTTCTAACCTTGGGTTTTAATAGCTACTCTTTCATAACTCTGAATGTCTGTGATAGGAACATTGCAAGGAAAACTATGTTGAATTCTACAACATCAATTTCCTCTAAATATTAGCGGCTCATAGAATGACTGGGTTTCTCAAGTACAAACTTTTAGCTCCATCATCTCTTGACCGATTTGAGATCTAATTACAATTTTAGACTCGGGAGGTCAAACCTTTTCGATTGATGTATTTGACCATGCCCAAGGCCTCGTAGATTAATTTACTCTAATCCTGTGTAAAAGAATTGCAAGTGCCACGGCTGTTGAGGATTCCCTCTTGTTTTCTGCACATAATTATAATAACTCTGCCTCTATTAGTCCCCATATGCAGTTGTTTCAATACTTTCACATATCAAGCTTCAAAATCTAATTATAGTTAAAGTTCATTTGCTTGGCCATACAATACAATGAAAAGCATAAACAGAGCACACACAACAATGTACTTTTTCTCACTGATTCTAAACATGTAAACCAAGCAGTAATCAATACAGGACAGCTCATCTGAATTATTTCACATATTTTGTTGTGAAACAGATTCCATAACTTATTAGTTTTTTAATGGACAAGTGGAGGAAGAAGAGGTTAAACGTACCTGACCCTCCTTGGTATTAAATTCCTAAAAAACGACAAAAGAAAGTGTGTGTGGACAAGTGGATAGCCAAAACTCTCAGTACAAAGGAAAATATGGGTTTAATTAATCCTTTGATCTATGTCAGTTCTGCAATGTGAAATTGACAATTCCTTAAACTTCATAGACTCTATTAGTCAAATCAGTTACAAACTGGTTCAAGCTTGATGAGTAACCAGTTAGAAAATTTTCAAAGTGTGACATTCCCTAATTGAAGGCTGCAATTTTTCTTTTTCATTTAAAGTCAACTATTGAGAATGTTTTGTGTTGTAGTCAGACATTTGGAAAAATGGTACTCCTATTTAATGTTAGTATATATCATTTTGTTTAGCTTTTTCTTGTGCTTAAGCATATTTTCTAAACTAAAAATATATTGAAAGATGTATTTTTTTTATAGATTAGTTTGTCATCATAGAAAGCTACTTTATACCAAGTAAGGGAAGAAAAATATGCTGTTAAAATTGTTTGGTTTTTTGGTTGTTTTTTTTCCATGTATGCAAAAGTTCAATATAATTTGAAAGTTGTCTTATAATGGAAATAATAAACATTAAACTGGATGTCTTTATAGGCTGCCCAACGCCACATCCGAGCCCTAGTAACTCGAAGCCAGACAGGCACCCATGCGCCAGGATGCCATGGGCTTCTACCAATGCCCCCACGACCTCCTTGTCCAGGCCAGGTCAATTAACTTTTGTGACACAGAATTAATGCCATGGTAATGCTGCCTACTCTCATTTTCAAACCAAAGAGGAGCAGCATAAAAACAGTCTTAAAACACTGTGCTATACAGAAGCATTATTATTATTTTTTTTTTCTAAAGAATGAGAAGGGAGAATTTGAATTTCATCTGGAATGTTATCAATATGGCATACAGAAATTAAGGATGCATTGCTTTGTTCAAAAAAATCCTTTTACCTGTTTCAGAAGATTTATTTACTGATAAGACATTTGATGCAAAGCTATCATTTTGAGAATATTCAAAACATCTGAATCATTGAGACTATTGGGTGGGAGGGGTGGTAGAAAGTTTAAAGTCGGGGATGGGAAAGGGGTGGGTTAAATGTTTTATTTCATTTTAAGTTTGTTGAAACATTTATATAGGACCATAATTGTTGACGATTATTGTGGTCTTTCTTTTTTTTTTATAAATGTGTTATAGAAACTTATTTTTGATATACTTGTTGGAGGAACTTTTTTGTTGAAAGATTTTTATTGGAAGCATTTTAGCTCATCATTAGTGGCCACATCATCAAAATAGGTCATTGTTTCACATAACATTCAAGTTTCTCCAATGAGGATTGATCCTAGCCAATTTAACTAAATTAATAAAACAAAGCTCAAGTTTGCTATTGCAAACTAACTGAAAAATTCTTTCACTCAAAAGTGTAAATTTATCATAAACATCCTTCATTCATGCTCTGTTTATTCGGATATAAATAGATCAATATACTTTTTACAGCTTTAAAAGTGACATTCTCCTCATATTTTATTTGAAATGCATCAGGCATGAAACCAAACAGAGCCATGGATTTATAAAGAATATGAATTAAAATAATTTAATTATTATATAAAAAAAGAAAGAAGGATATATGTAGAGAAAGATGATTAGTAACCTACAGTACAACTTTGGATGCCTTTATAGACAATTACTTGTATGTTAATAGCCATGTTGTTCAACCTGTAGAAGTTTCTTATTCATGTTGAAAACAGTTCCAGGGATTCATAAACCATTATTAATTACTACTAGAAAAAAATAATTCTAGAGTCAATGTGTCTTGAAACTAAAACACTTTTTGTTATCAATGCTATTTGCACAAGATGAAAAGGTATGTTAAGTAACAAAGCTAGATGTTATGACTGATGAAATGATCATCTAACATAATACATCTTTGAATATTCACAAGATTGAAAACTTACAAAGTGAATTATAGTCTGTGGCCTAAGACTGCCACGAGCAGCCTTGTTTCCTCTCAGGCTTGCTTTCTATAAATACCTACTACCTCATTTGTTTGACCATCCTGTTTCAAATGTGCTTTTGCAAATCACTTTCTGGCCAAAGTTGGTAAGAAATCAAACGTTGACAGAAACGACTGCTAGATGATAATGAAGATAAGTGTTCTGGATATACTTCCATTTTTCATTATAATAACTGAAGTGGACATGGAGAGTATAATCATAAGTTTATCCACTCTTTGAAATTGTGTCATGCTTGACGTTACAAACGTGATAGCATTATATATATAAAATACAGAGGTTATCAAGAAAAAATGGAGCAAACAGAAATGCTTGTTTCTACCTCTTTGAGTTGCATCATTTACAGGAAAGCATATTAAAATGACTAAGTTAAATGTCATTCATCTCCTGTGATAGATTACTACCAGTTTTATTTTACTTTGATATCCTATAGGTTACAGTTTCATCTGTCATGAAATGGACCATGCTGGACTGCAAAAACAGTAGAAATATTGTTTTTTAGTCAAACTTAAACAGTCTGTTAACAGACTGACAGACTCCATTGTTTTTGATATATCCTTCATCTATAGAAAAGGAAGTGTTGAAATAATATTGCTTTGAAAAGTCCTTAGTGTTAATCTTCAAGTTCACGATTTACCAGTGTAGTAATAAATTGTAGAGATAGTTACATCCCCTAAAAGGTTAGCCATGTAGTTTTTTCATTTTTTTCCAGATGTTATCTCAAAAAAAAAACAAAATTGTTTTGTTTTCATATTTATGTTGAAAATTAGAGGACGATGCATTTGAAGATTATTCTCTTTAATTCTGGAATCTATCGTCTTACCACTGGCTAAAGAAAGTCAGTTAAGTAGTACTGGTTCATATTTAAGATTATTATGTTACTACAGTTTTGGTGGTTGTAAAATTCAGGATTTAGTGAACTCCCCCCCCTTTTTTTTTTCTTAATAAATGTTCTTAGGATATTTCAGTGTGTGAAGATTTTGGAACCTAAAAAAAATGGAAAATGCTACGTGACGTAAGCATTACCCATTTTAAAGACTCTGGAACCATAAGATTTTTAACAAAAATAACATTTGAAGTTTTACTAATATTTTTCCCCCTTCCAGATAAACCAGTTGTGGATAATCTTTGGGCTTAAGATGAATCTGATTACAGTTCTGTGCCATAACTCCAAGTTCAGTAAAACCCAATACCACTGGTAGGCATGTTGACTCAAACACGGGTAAATCCTATATTCTTATGGTCATTGTAGTCTTGGCAAAAGATGCATCTACAGGAAAGCTGGAATATCTTGTATGAATAATGTTACAAAAGTTTTATTAGTAGAGCCTCACATCTGAAGTAAGCTTTCCTCACTTTGATTGTTTTGATTTTTTTTTTTCAATTCTGCGTGACTGGGAAGAGCCCATTCCATTACATAACAATTGATCAGTTTCTCTGTAAGGTTAGGTTTTGGATTAGCCAGGTAAGCCACAGTAATGTTACTGTCTGACTAGAGTTTCATCCCCTATGTACCTGTAAACCTTTTCTATGGAGAAATTAAATTATTCTATGAAAAATGACCAAACTGTTGCTCTAATTTCTTTGTAATGTACATGCAAAAAAAAACGCTTGGGACAAACACTTTTTTTAATAATTACTGAACGTGCTGAATTTAACATAAAAAATTAGATGTTGAACTGGTTTAAAGTTTGTGACAAGAACATATATTTCAAGTACTTTATGTACTGATCAAGTTATTATCACTTGCTCTGCATATGAACAAATAACAAGCACAGATGAAAGTAAGGTTGCCTTTTAGAAAGTGGGATACGATTTTTTTATACATAATTAATACACTTGATTCTTCAGAAAATACATTCATTTGTTTTCAGTAAATTGTTGCACTATCCACTATTAAACTTTTTCATATTTCAGTTTCTGATATAAGAATTACAATAAAAGTAAAGTAGAACTTTCAACCACTTATTGTGTATTTTTGGTAAAAATATATTATGATAACCACAATTCAAAGATGGATTAGCATGTACAACCTACCTGAATAAATTTGTCATTACTCTGTAAAGGGGGAGTTGCTTTTTAGTTTTCACAGAATTAAACAAATTAGTACTATTCTAATTATTTTAATGGCTAGTTCTGAGCACACAGAAGAGTAAATGCTGGACTATAAAAAACTTATGGTTGAATGTGGCACATTGACAAAAAACAACAAATACTGTTTATTCTTTCATTTTTCTACACCATAAATTATCTTAACTATACCTATATTTGTTTTCATATGCTTCTCATTTTAAATCTATTAAAATTATTCCACAAGTTCGTGTATGAAAGTATATAAATAAGATAATTAAAAATTAATTTGAAAAGGGGAATAGGGATTATCATAAAAGTACAGAAACAACTTTAATCAAATGTAAAGATTATATTTTCAAGCCTACAACTAGGGACTCGTATATATATATATATATATAGAACTAGGCTGGAAATAGTGTCTACATTATTTTCTCAAGCTACAA